GTGTGTGTGTGTGTGTGTGCGCGTGCGCTAAGCGAAGGGAAGATTATTTCTGAAAGGGATGAGGGAAAAGCAGAAGAATATACTAATATATACTGTCTATCTGTCTGTCTGTCTGTCTATCTATTTATCTAATCTGCCTATCCATCTATATCTCTACCTATCATCATCATCATTTATCATCCATCTATATTTGAATATATATACTACTTTGTTATGACCAGGTTTTTAAGTGTGATGTTTATTTGAATATTTTTTAAATTCAGAATCCTTTCTGTCATTTATTTCGAAAGCTAAATTCTTTCAAAAATGTTGTTTTTCTTGACAGATACTAAGTGTACCGTGGATGGTTTACTGGAAGGTGCAGAGTATGAGTTCCATGTCATAGCCGTGAACCGAGCAGGGCCTGGGCTTCCCAGCGGTGCTTCCAACTCAATTGTAGCAAAAGATCCCATCAGTATGGTTCTACTTTTCATTTATTTCTAGTGTCCAATATGTATATGTATGGTGTGTTTGTGTGTGTGGGCATGGAGGGTGCAATTCAATTTATGAGGTTCATTATACAAGCAGAACATAATGGGATAATCAGGGAACTTGATTGTGGCAGCTTATTGTTACTTGCTGCTGATTGCTTCATTTCCATTTTGTAATGTCACAGTCATTTAAATTTCAACATTTGACAAAGTGATTCTCTTTCAAATAATACCGAGGTGGCCTAAAGGTGGTGTTGGCCCAATTACACAGCAACACCTATCAATCAATCTTTATTACAGTTATTGCAACATCTATTTATTGTAAGTCTATGATCTTATAATAACAATAAACTAACAATACAAGCCATGTGAGGGCAAAATGATTCCAGGCTCCTGAAATAAATATTTTCTAAAGCATTTTACCTAACCTCTGATGTATCTTCCAAGCTCAGACCAATGGTGCTAAAATCAATCTGTCCCCTGATGATAGCTATTGTCCTGGTTTAAGGCACAGAAGAAGATAGGGTTGTCCAGTGTAAAAATAGCTGTCATCCATCACTGCAGGCTGGGGCTGAGTGTTATTGTAGTTCAGCAACTCCTGGTGGGCTATCAAAAATGAAGATTAGATCATAACACAGGAGGCATGGAGTATTTGGTTATAAGCTAAACTAAGAAGTGAATACTAACATTCTGATGGTGATTTCCAAGGACACTGTGTTTCATGCTAGTTTTCCAAAATCCCCTGTTAGGGAAGGCCTGCAAATACTAGCATCTAAGGGTGACTTTTCAATTTTGGAAGTTTCCAGAAGCCGAAAGAACCCTGTCACCTGCTAAAATGTGCCAACTTTCCCATGGAGTCTGACTGCTTTAAAGAATGTCTATTAGTATAGCAAAATTGGCATCTATTCTACATTTCCACCTAAAAATAAGGAAGTAGGCCATCACTGATTTATAAGCCATTCTTCAGTTCTTTTCCACTATCTTTTTTAAAGTAAATTTTCCAAGTAGTTTTTAGATTCACAGAGCTTTATTTGTGTGAGGTAATAACTGAATTCTTGCCTGATGATATATTCTTTTAACATATCAAGTCCAGAATATGCCTATATAAACTGGCCCAAAGGCTAGCATGGCCCAGTAAGTTTTAACTGTACATTTACCAATTCTTCACATGCGAAATGCCTTGGACCGGATGACACTCATGAATTTGAGAGGCAGAAATCCTGCCAACTCCACTGGATTGGAAAGCTTGAATGGTCCATCCCTTCAAATGACATGCTCTTTTTCCCCCCAATAACTTACAACTGTGTATTAATTACTGATGTTTGCTATTGACGCAGAGCCTCCTGGGCTGGTGAAGGGGTTGCACGTGGCTGATTCTTCCCAATCCAGCATTTCGTTGGCATGGCAAGAACCTGATGAGGGTGATCCACCTTCAGGGTACATACTGGAGATGAGAGCTGAGGACACCAAGGAATGGTCCAAGTGTACCAAGATCCCAATTTCTGGCAAATGCTACACAGTGGGAGGTCTGCAGGAGAGACAGAAGTATTTCTTCCGCATCCGAGCTGTCAATGAAGCCGGGGTGGGAGAACCGATTGAGCTGAAAGAAGGTGTTCTGGCCATGCCACCTCCAGGTAAAACTTACCCAATCCATCCTTCATACAAGCATGCCTTGACTGCTGGTATGTTAACCCTTTTTCAGAACGTGAGAGATACAGAATTTGATCTAGAAGATGATACAGCATATGAATGGAATTTAGTTTAATAAGTTTACGTTTAATAAGATTTGTATGCCGCCCACTCCCTTGGGACTCTGGGCAGCTTACAGGCAGGGTAAAAAGCAACATTTAAAAATTAAAAATAAAAGGTACAATTATTAAAATTCCACATCATGCATTCCGTCTAAGTGGGGCTGGATATTAATCAACACCCCCAGGCCTGCCGGAACAGCCAGGTTTTGGTGGCTTTACAAAAGGCCGGGAGAGTGGTAAGGGTCCGGATCTCTACAGATAGATCATTCCACAGGGCCGGC